CGACGGAAAAACGGCGACGCAATGTGCGTCTAACGCATCAAATGCATGTGCTACACATGAACCATTGCGACTCGTTGTAATGTCGTGCAAATGGGTACTTAGCTTCCCCTTCAGGCTCCTTAAGATTTATCTTAAATAAAAAAATTTAAGATAAATCTCAAGGCACCATCCAAGTACTGAGCCACCCCACCGCGTCAAGGTGTACCCATGGGGGGGTATTATATGTATATATATATTTATAAAATAATATATAATTTCAAATTTATTGTATTCAAATTTATTGTAATAATTGAAAAATTATCTATATAGTATCTCTCTTTATTCTTGATTAAAAGAGAAAGATATATAAAATTATATAATATACATATCACAATTTAAATTTATTAAAAATATTGTATTAGAAATTAATTATTGTTATTTGCGATCTATTATTATTCGCGAGATTATATTTGAATATAAGAAATATACATAAGAATCATAATAAAAATAATAATTATTTGTAAATATATTACAATGATATTAGTTAATAATTATTTATTTTCGTCGCTTTGATTTCTACTTTGAGAATAAATAAATTGTGCGAAATATTTAGTTCAGTAAATAACTATCACTTTGAAAGAGACACATTTATAAATTTTTAAGTAAAGTTAATTAATTCGAACTATTTGCTAGCGTTAATTGTTTGTGAATAATGACAAGAAACATCACACAGAGCATCTCGATCAGCATAATCAAAGAACTTTGCTTATCAAGAATGTATACTAATCGATTTGTTATAATTATAATTTTATAGTATTACTATTATATAGTATACTATTTTATAGTATTATAATTTTATAGTATTACAAACATATATTTTTCTCATTTTTTATAATATATAATTTTACACAGAATATTTTATTCTGTACATTTCTAATTAATTATTATCAATAAATAGTACATCTGCTTTTAACAGTAGCTTTACAATTAATGCTTTTAATATCTATGCTTTATATTTAATTATTATTTATTACCTAAAATAGCTGTTATTGAATATTCTTAATTGCAATAAATTATAATTATATTTTTTCCTTTTTTACACTGGAAGTAGAAAATAATTATAAGATTAATCGATCCATTTTTATCTTTGAGATAATGATACTTTTTAATTATTTATATGCATTATATTATATGATATATGTATTTTATTTTTAAAAACTCTTGAAATATATATTTAATAAAATATTTGTAATATTTAATAAAAAAATATTTTCTCTCTCTCTCTCTCTCTCTCTCTCTCTCTCTCTTTCTCTCTCTCTTTCTCTTGGCATATATATGATGTTTCATAGAAGAAAATATTATTACATATAGTGTATAAATTTAAATTCACAAATATAAATGACAAAATGAATATAAAAGATAACAAAATATCTATTCTAATATATCTATAATCTTAATTCGTTGAAAGAATACGTAGAAATTAAGTTTTAAATATATATTTATAATTATTTTCTTAAAAATGATGTATAAATTATATATAACTAGTAATACTAATTTTTGCTATGATATAAATGATGGTAATTTTTTTCAATTAAAGAAAAATTGAAATTTAATTCACAGAAATGTTAATAAATGATAATGAAAGAAATACTGATATATAATTATTATTAATAAAATTACTACTAATCTCAGTTTCCTAACAACGTTAATATTAGTACATATGACTGTTATTAACTCTTTTTTCCATTATTTATTTTCACTCTTGGATGCACGTGAAATAAAAATAAAAACTGACCGAAAGATAAGAAATATGTCGAAATATAAAATATGCTGTGTTAAACTGAATCAGTGAAAATATTGATATTAAGACAGTGACACAAGATTTCAGATATTATTGGCTATTGATCGCGAGTCCGCGTAGAATATTTAGCTCACAATTAGCAGTCCACGCGGATTGTTTAGGTTCGGAAATTCGGAAATGCCATCGATATTGTGAGACGAGTTACACGGATGACTATTCTTTTATCACACGTTCCCAATTTGAATTGTATTTAGTATTGTTAAAAAGTTGAATGAGAGAGATAAAACGAATCGAATAAAATACACTTAATCTTTAAGTATCATTAAAGAAATAATTACTCTTATAAAGATCATGATAAAACGATAATTTACAATTTTAATTCGTGTCACACACTTCTATTTTTAAATCAATACGTCAAAAATTAAATACAAATATAATCAATTAATACTCTTATAGTTCTATTCTTTATAAAACTCAAAATAATTCATTTTACAAAAATTATTATTACGCGCAATCAATTTTTTAAGAGAGATTTATCTCTGATATTAATTAATATTTTAAATATAAAACTAGCAAAAAAATGTTTTTCTTTTATTTTAAATTTTTGAAAAATATATTAAAGAGAGTATTATTAATAAAGAGAGTATGTTAATTTTTATATATGAAATATTTAAATTATATTATTTTAAAAATATTTTATAAAATATTAAAATATTATGAAAGTATTAATTAATAATATTACAAAAATATTATAGATGCTTTATTATGCTTTAAATATACTTAAAATAAAACCTGGAATATTTTATACATGCATTATATTATGTGATTTTTAGAACAAATTATGTATATCGAGAAAATGAAACAATAATAATATAATATATCTGTTTTGAAAATAATATATAAATAAATAATTTTTATAAATTACTCACATCATATCTCTCTGGCTGCTTCAGGCTCTCTCACTACTTTCTGACTGTCCGAAACTTTTTCAGGTCCTTCTCCTTTCTTCTTCATCCTTCGCTGTTTCCTCGTAACACTTATATTCACTCACGAACAAACAATTAATTATATTTAGTTATATATAGAAACGATCGCGAGATACTTTGCACGGAATTCTCGATCGCAAAATAATCATACGAGATACGTATTTTATTATATTGTTTATGAGAGAGGAACACGAAAAATATTACAATTCACTCGACATTTAAACGAAGCAAAATCACGCACCATTCGATCTTTATACTAATGACATTTCTATTTATAGATGTATAATATATGCACAATAACGCGAATCATAAGATTGAAATATTAAAGTAATTAATTGTTAATTGTAATAGCGAATTATATTTCGATAATACTAATCACGATCGCACTTTTAGGAAAAGAATTCAATAATACGAAACGTTTTGTATCACTACTTTACTGTTGGAATGTCGCCGTGTGAATGATACAAGGTCGTTATGTATTTCTAATTTTTGCCCCTTTTGCTCCAATTTTTATTTACAATAATGAAGAATCGCGTTTCAATGAATTTATTTATTTATCATCGCCATACAGTTTCATGTCATTTATTAAGTTACAGTAATTAATTGTTAATTGTAATAATCGTTAGGAAAAGAATTTAATAATATATATACGAAGCGTTCCGTATCACTACCTCACCGCTGAAATGTCGCTGTGCGAATGATACAAGATCATCGCCTATGTAAACAATAGCGCGCTACGTCATCAAGGTTGAGCGTCGTGTTACAGTTCGCTGCCGAAATATTTTACGTGTACTATGACGTACACGCATTTTACGTGTACTATGACATACACGCAGAAATGGTGTCTCGATATGTATATGTGACGGTCGACGTCATACGCACACACAGCGCGCACGTACGTGAGCCAAGAATTTATTCTTCATTAAATTTTATTTTTTATATAATTTAATTATTATTTAATTTAATAGAATGAATGCCGGCCTTTAAGGCACGCGATTAAGTCGCATATCTTAAAGAAAGAAAAGAAAGCAAAAGAGACGGCTATCGACGCTTTTAACTCGGTGTCGCGTCTTATAGTGCTTTCTCTCTCGCTCTTGTGCCGTGCGCGAACGACGCAACATCGGATACCCTCCCCACCCTCCCCACTATTCTACGGCCCGCGTACATGCGTGCTTCATTTGTGTGAGTATGACGTCATGAGCGTCACACACATACCGGGACACCAGTCCTGCGTGTATATATACATATATGAGAAATTTATATACAAGTATATTTTTTTAATTCACACAGATTAATTATTTATTAAGCGATACTTCACAAGGCTTCCGTTATGTTAATTATTCGATCGTTTTTACTGCGCGTTCTTAATCGAATTATATATTGAGATCGTCAAATAATTATACGATAAAGCATCGGACGAAATATTTTTAATTCTAAGTATTATTAGAAGAATAATTATTTCTCGTAAGGATTGCAACAAAATAATAATTATTATTATTTTGATAATTTATAATTTTGATTTGATCCTGTCACACATCCATTATTCTTAATTGTTTAATTAAATGAACGCGAAATATGTGCTTCGAAATTATACTCCAATCGTATAACCGAGTATTTCGAATAATGGAAAGAGCAATGATCAAATCAACTATTTATTAATAATAAAATTGTAACTTACGAATGTATTCCATTTATTTCGTTAATATCGTGACAACAATAAATAAACTATTAAAATAAATAATCAGTATACTGAAACAGTTTTACCAATTACTGATACAAAAACTGCTCCATTAACCAGTTGGTGAAACTGTTTCAATATTTTGGTTATTTTCTGAAAAGAACTCATATGACCAATCGTGACGTCTGACATTTTTCTCCTTGAGTTTGTTCTTTTTAGTTACACTGCTGCACTAGTGCAGTAAGTTGGAAAGAGACAAATATACTTTCTTTCACTCTAATTGCACTAGTGCAATAGTGCAGCTAAAAGGAACGGGTGGCACCCGATTGACCACGTCGCCAATTGGCCAATTCAAAATAGAACTCTCTGATTGGTTAATCGTTGCTGGTTACCCTAGGCACAGGTCGATATAATTGGCTGTAGTCAATCGCAACGTGGTCAAACGGGACGCTCCCAAAGGAACAAGTCCATTCTCAGGTTCGCCTCTGTGTAGTTTATTTACATATTTTTATCTTCATTTGAAATGTTTCAACAGTGATTTATTATAATTAAAGAATAAGAATGATGATTTTCATAAAATTGTACTACCTACATTTGTGATGTTGCAATCTATACATTTAATAAAAATTATTAATTTTAATTTAACTTAATTGTTATTTATTAGATAACAATCACGTGAGTTCTGGCTTGTTAGATATTTCAATAAAATTGAAATTTATATTCGCACATATATTGATTGGATTAGGATAATTTTTACAAGTTTGATTAAATGTTTCAGATGCTAAGATGGCACAACGATTAAGCAACAAGGCAAAACTTAAATCGCTTTTCACTGTGACAAGCAGTGCCATTGCTTTGTTCAGTGGTATTTCACTCTATCAGGGTAACGAAAGGTTCTACAGTGAAGTTGTCATACCTCTAGCTCAACTGATAGATGCGGAAACTGCCCACAATCTTGCAGTGAAATCTCTGAAATGGGGTTTTGTGTCGAAACAGAAAACAGAAGACCCCAGTTTACTTCAAACTACTGTGCTGGGTTTGCAATTTAAGAATCCAATTGGCATAGCTGCAGGATTCGATAAACAAGGAGAGGCAGTAGAAGGGTTGCACAAGATTGGCTTTAGTTTCGTAGAAATAGGTAAAATCTGTGTATAATTGTAAATAATAAAATTAATAATAAATTAAAGTTATAAGTAATAAAATAATCTGATAATAAAATATCTTATAACTATTGCAGGATCTGTGACACCTAAACCGCAATCTGGTAATCCAAAACCAAGAGTGTTTAGGCTGCCGGAAGATAATGCAATTATAAATAGATATGGATTTAATAGTGATGGTCATGACGTTGTATGGGAACACCTTAAGAAGCTGAAAGAGAATAAGAATTTTAATGGTATTCTTGGTGTGAATTTAGGGAAAAACAAAGAGACAAACGATGCAGTTCAAGATTATATCGATGGCATAAAAAGATTCATGGATGTGGCGGATTACTTTGTGATAAATGTGTCTAGTCCTAATACTCCAGATTTAAGATCCTGGCAAAACAAGAAGAACTTAGAACAATTATTGACCAGAATAAATGTAGCAAGAGAATTGCTCAATAGTAAACAGCCATTGCTTCTGAAGCTAGCGCCAGATTTATCAGATTCTGAACGACAAGATGTAGCAGATGTAATTTTAAAGAAGAAATCTAAAGTTGATGGTTTAGTTTTGTGCAATACAACAATCATGCGACCGAATTTAATTAATTCGAATAAGGAAGAAAGTGGCGGTCTTAGCGGTGCACCTCTTGCTGATATTTCTACCGCTATCATTTCCGATATGTATAAACGAACACATGGCAGCATTCCAATTATTGGTGTAGGTGGTATTTTTTCTGGTGCTGATGCTTATATCAAGATAAAAGCTGGTGCTTCCTTAATACAACTTTATACTTCATTTGTATATAATGGACCACCAATAGTAGACAAAATCAAACGGGAATTATGTGAAATACTTGAAACTAATGGTTTTTCTTCTGTGACTGATGTAGTTGGCAAGGATACCAAGAATAGATGAATATATTTTATTGTACATAATTCTAGTGCCTTTACTATACGTGAATATATTATCCCATGCAATGTACATAAAGAATATATTATGTAATAGATAAAAAATATTATATACAGTTGATTATATTATAATTGAAGAAGATTTATTATATTTGTATTAAAGCCAATTAAAGTTATATGTTGTCAACATCAATCTATTTATATTATATTGTGGTATATCTAATCATTGTTACATAAACATTATTTTTTTTATTTTTATAACATCATATATATATATATATATATATATATATTATTTTGTATTATTATATATATTATTTATAACATTATTATATATTTTTTATAATATTTTTATAACATTATTTTTTTATATACAGGTTGTTTTAAATTTTATAATTTATGATTTATTGCAATAGTTCTTTTATACTTAATTGGACTTAATATACACATACCATTATAATTATTACAATGCATATAAGTAATAATCCACCAATATGAGAGAGAGAAAAAGAGAGAAATATCTCTTAATACAAATATAAATATGTATACATATTCGCGCGCATCAGTTCCATCATTTTGAATTTTTTGGAGACATAATGTCGATTGTCGCCGTTAGATACGGCGCTGCCGAGGCGCGTCCCGAATCACGATTGCGCGTGGCCATCTCGGTTGATCTCCTTTACCGTGCAATACCGTCGCAAACGGGACAGTCAGCTGTTGTGTCAAGCGAACATTCTTAACCAACAAATTGCACGGATATTCGTCCAGTCCTGCGCGATCCAGGCATCCTACGACGTATCGCGGTGCCGCGTACATCCCGACTGTCCAGCTAACTAGATTCGATAGCGATTGCGACAAAGGTACGTGTCCTTTTTCTCGCCCCGGTCGACGCACAAATTGTCCGTCTCGAGAAAAGACTGGTCGTGAGTCACCCGATTCCTCGGCTCGTTCGCCTTCGCACCTGTGCACGAATGCAAATTATCAACGCGTTAAAGGTCAGATAAAACACAGATGAATCTGACGCGCTTTATCTCTCGCCTTTATCGAACTCTTTACTCCTGTCGCCGGGATCGGAGGGAGAGATCGTTCGTCCTTGACAGGCGACTCGCTCGCTGACGCAGAGAACGACGTAATGCGCGTCCCGCCTGGTAAACAGAATCCTCGACGCGTATTATTCTCGGAGCACGCCGCACTTGCCCTTACCTTACCTTACCCACCTGTCAAGAGCGCATTTGTTGTGTGTACGAGCAACGACGATTGTTCGATATCCGCGACAACGAGATTTTTGACGTTTCTGTGACAGTTAAACTTTCGTCGCGACGATCCATCGTCTTCGACGATGGACGATGCCACGTTTCCAATCGAATACGCGGAATGAGGAACATTTAATCGACTTATGCCATCTCAAATTTCGATACGAACCGTGTCATTTATTAATTATAGCTGTTTATGAATTTATCGGAAGAATGCAACGCGTCTTTCCGAGTCGATTGATTTTTATGACACCTGATTTAAAGAGCTCGATATAGAAATATGTATATCAGTGTATTTTTGACGAGGAGATAACAATTCCAACTTATCTATGTAAAAAGGATATTAAAAGATTATTATAACATATAAGAATGACATTACCGTTTATTTTTGGATGCACATTTTTTTTGTGTATGTGAGAGAACTCTCTTATTTTATTATATTTTATTCCATATATTTTACTCTACAATATATTTAAATTTATAATTCCATATATATATATATATATATATATATATATATATATTTATTTATTTATTTTTTAATTTATTTATTGTTATATACTTTATATTATTTATATTCTATATTAAATGAAGCTTACATAAATTATTTGTTCAAAGTATTACAGAAGCTTTAATAAATTAATAATTTAATAAATTAATAATTTAATAAATTAATAAATTAAATTATAAATTATATTTAATAAATTAAATTATAAATTATATGCATATTTTAGTGGCAATAAAATCTTATTTTTATAATGATATTTTTAATCGGACGTTGCTTGAACAAATATTTTTTTTTTTTATTATCGATCGTCAATTATGATACAATACAATTTGTATTTAGCATAAAGCAATGCATTTCTTATTACCGGAACTGATTTAAATTCGACAATAAATGAGTGACATAATATTGATGATACCTTATTGAAAGTACCTTACGCGAAGATGACACGATCTCTCTTCCTCGAATCGAGTCGTGTCTCAACTTTATGCGCATTACGTGACTTTTAAGATTTTGCAACACACGTTGATTATTCATACGTCCTATAGACGCGGAGAAATCGCCAATGATCATCGTGCGTTTTGCGACTTGCGTATGTCATTCCTCCGTCAGAGAGAAAGCAGGGAATTCGCTTTGACGAAAAACTGTTAAAGTTATAAACGTATGCGCGGCTGACGTGCGATGTCTCATGACTAAAATAAAACTCTGCCGCCGTTATTCTAAAAGTGTCAAATGTGCATTATAAAAACAGGTGAGACGAGGATATAGTAGCTATAAATCTGATAACGCGTTAAAACGGGATACCTTGAAAGCGATACTTTCAAACGTTTCATTTTTCCATAAAAAAAAACTCTCGGCTGTGCATGTATATCACATATTTTCATATTAATTACATATTTCATTAATTATCGTGTATACATATTTTATATTATTTTTATTTTATATATATTACATATTTTATATTAAATATTTTTATGTATTTTTTTCGAATATTATTATGTGTATCTCCTGAAATTCCTATCAGAGAATGTGTGATTTTAAATGAAATATTTTTTTCGTTCAATTTATATGCGCTTTATTTGAATTTATCGTATCTTTTTTTGAATTTATCGTATCTTTTTTTTTCCTCTCGAGAGTTGCTCTTATTTTTGTAACACCTTGGGACATACTTAAATATAACGCAGCATGAATATGAATTTTTCCGACATTTCTTGGTAAAAACATAATTTTATATATATATATATGCTATCGTCTCTCAAGTTTTTCAATTATCTTTATAATGAGTTACTGAATTGACAGTGGATGAGGTAGCAGCGAGAATATTAATGCGGTTACGTATGTAATTTACAAGTTTGCCGGAGTTGTTTTTATTATTTGATTGATATTCGCAATATTTTGCTCATATCATGTATTATATAACTATATCAATTCACAAATTTATAAAAAATACATAAAATGTATATAAAAAAAGCAGAATGATGTATTCTCTAATTAATATCTAATTATAATATCTTAATCTAAAGTTCTGTTTAATCAGCTGCACATTTATTGTAGAAATTTTGTATACATTTTAATTCAAATCAGTTTTTAATTGAATTATTTTCACCAATTTATGTTTTGATAATATGTAACAACAGTGAAATACAGTTAAAAAAAGTGTAATATTTTTTAAGTGTAATATTTATTATCAAATAATTTAAGTGTAACATTTATTATTAAAAATTTCTTTAATAAATCGTGATTGACAAAAATTTCAAGAGCTTTATTTATTTCTTATAATTGTACAATTTGATGTATTATTTTAAATATTACGAATGTGATCTTATAACAACGCCATGTAATTTTTCTCGATATTTTTTCAGGATGTTTAAAGAAGGCGATAATGGGCCGGGAGGTTGTAACGGGGGTCCACCTCGTCCTCGGAGGATATTTCCCCGATTTTCCCTGCGAAGATTATTGTATTCCAGCCCGCTTATCGGCCGTCGTATCGCAAGGACGCCTAGCGCAAGCAATAAGAATGCAAAAGGTACCTTTTGAATTCTATTAGGCTGCAATGATAATTGTAAAAATGAACTTAATTTTTCAAGATAGAACATATTTTTTGCGCAGCTAAAGATCAAGCAAGTGGCAGAATGTCGGACGTCGAAAAGGGAGAGGCCAGAGTAAGCAATGGCTCGAGCCATTTTCAATTTCACAACATTGATCTACAACGTGCTTCCAGCAAGGGCTCTGTACTTTCCTCTGCAGGAAAGGTATTAGCAAAATCGTATTATAATTTAATATATTTTAATCGTGTTAATATATATTGGGAAATAGAAGTATTTCAATAAATTTATCTTTGACAAATATTTATCTTTATCTTTGACAATTTATTGTTAAATCTTTTTTACATAATGTGTTATTTCAGAGTAATGAAAATGGGCTAATGGAATGCCCGTTATGCTTGGCTGAACTGCCTATAGAATTTTTTCCTATTATCCAATCTTGCCACCATCGCAGTTGTTACGACTGTTTTCAACAATATTTGAAAGTAGAAATCTCCGAGTCGAGAGTCAATATTGCTTGCCCTGAATGTTCAGAGCCGTTGCATCCAAATGGTGAGTGTGCATTGTTCTAATTATACTTGTACAAATCTCGTGTTTATTTTTATAAACTCTTGATATTCACAATTTTCTGTCTTATGTTTTTGTTTGACAGATATTCGGATGATTCTAAATGATCAAACACAATTAGAGAAGTATGAGGATTTTATGGTTCGAAGAGTCCTCGCTGTAGAACCCGACGCAAGATGGTGTCCTGCTCCAGATTGCAGTTTTGCTGTAATCGCCAGCGGTTGCGCCTCGTGCCCAAAATTACGTTGCGAGCGACCTGGTTGCGATTCATACTTTTGCTATCATTGCAAAGCGCGCTGGCATCCTAATCAAACGTGTGATGCTGCAAGAGCGCAACGTTCTCAATATTACGAGCGTAGCTCTTCTTTAAGTTTCAGTCAAAGTGATTCACAACATAGTGAGTAAAAGTTGCACATTACAAAACGTAATATCGATTTATTGAATTTTGATGTCATGTTATAATTTATGACCTGTTTAGGAGATGACATAAAACCGTGTCCTAGATGTCAGGTTCTGATTGTCAAAATGGACGATGGAAGCTGCAATCATATGACGTGCGCAGTTTGTGGCGCAGAATTTTGTTGGCTTTGCATGAAAGAAATAAGCGATCTTCATTATCTTAGGTATTGTATTTTGAATGAGCTACGAATATATAACAACCAAACAAACGTGTTTAAACATTCTTCTGTTCTGTTTGCAGTCCTTCTGGCTGCACTTTTTGGGGTAAAAAGCCGTGGTCTAGAAAGAAGAAGATTCTTTGGCAACTTGGAACTCTGGTGGGAGCGCCAATTGGAATCGGTCTTGTAGCTGGTATAGCATTTCCGGCCATGATTATAGGTTGGTTATTATATTTTAAAAAGTGAATATATACATATATAGAAATCACACCAAAAAAAAGAAAAATATGTTATTACAATATCATATATTTTATATTCAAGGTATACCAGTGTGGGTGGGACAAAAATTGTACACAAGATATGAGAAGGCTAACAAACACAAGAGAAATGCTTTTATTGCCGGAGGAGTTACTGCATCGGTAAGTTTATTAAATACTTCTTAATAATTGAAGAAAAAGAAAGAGAGAGAGAGAGAGAGAGAGAAGGAGAAAGAAAGAGAGAGTAAGTGTGTGTGTGTGTGTGTGTGTGTGTTAATATTAGTTTTAATGTTTGCCAAATATTAATTAATCATGTGTCTAGATATCATGTGATTTTCATAATATTTTAATAAGCATTGGATTCTAAATATTATAACGCTTTACTTATTCTTTGAAAAATCTTTAAAAGCTTAGTAAAAATTAATGAATAATTCCTCGCGTAAATTTTATTTTCTTTTGTTGAAAAACGAAAAACAGAAATTGTTTGTTGATTTGTCTGTATTAATTGAAGGAACTCGGTTTGTTATTCATGATAACATCAAGGTATATTTTATCCATATAGTTTATACAGAGGAAATGGATAATACAATAATTGTATATAGCGTTAACAAAACAGCGCATTTTCGCTGGAATAATTGTCGGAAGAAGTTTATCACGGGACGCGTATTCGGGCAGATGGAACATAATTGTTTTATGTTTCATGTACATCTCGAAAATACTCTATAACTGTGATGTATGTCCTATAGCATTATAATCACGAATCTAATTGATTTCATCTTAGTAATTGTATCACAACTACTTGCCTAAATCTTTAATGATTTGGCACAGCGTAGACGTTCATCAACAATTTCTGTATAAGCAGAAAACTGGGTTGAAAATTTACAATGGAAAAACCGATAGCATTGTTAATAAGAAATCAATATTTTTATGTGATAGTTTTTCTTAGAAAGTTTGCCTCCGATTTTATCTTACTTTCATTGAATTGCAAGTGAAGCTTGCATTAGTAGTCATTAAAATATCATTATAGTTTTCAAAGAGTAATAGTTGACAAAGCTTACACTAATGTATAATCGAGACATTATGGTTAAGCATTTTTGATCTTGATCAATTAGTCCCGCTCGTTTATAGTAGTCTCGTCGCAAAGAGAAAGAAACTGAGAGAGAGTAGCGCAAGTTTCTAACGTCCATTATATTCTTCCGACGTGCTTTTTTGCAACTACCTTCTTCGTCGCCCGCATTCGTGTTATTGCTGGCTTAAGCCTCCTTTGGGTTGGAAACACAAAGATTGCATCTTTAAGCTACGTATGGGCTATTGAAGTACCTATTGCTTCACGTGAAACTCTTCGCTTCGAGTCACAGCCCTGATAGAAATATTAATTCTTCGGTGCATACGCTAATGTGTGTTAACGGTGGCAGCAGTGATTATGGATCGGCTATGTTTGTCGCGACGACAGCTTCGTCCGTCAGTACGCCATCGTTATATAGATCTTCGAGGACGTCGATCAGTCGTTGCTCTGTGAGGGGATCACCGAGCGCGACGTCCACCGATCCGATACAAAGTAAAAGCGCCAGCAATTGGGACTTTCTATAATCCTTGTCAAGATCTTCTCTGGTGTAACCCAAGTCCTTGGGAATATTTAGGCCGAGACGCGAGCATGTCCAGTTCAGCTTGTCCCAGTACGTGTTTAGAAGTGATTCGGTATGTTTGCGACGTAACTCGGTGGGCACTGAACTCACCAACAACAATGCGACATCGTTCGTCGGTCGACTGTAAGTAACCATCTGCCAATCGAGAATGTAGCATTCCGCACTTCCGCAGGTGTCTCTGAAGAGTAGATTATTGCTCCAGAAGTCGGTGTGAGTTATCAACGCCAATGGGCCCTCCGGGGCGAGAAGAGCCGAAATTATGTCTTTAGTGCGGGGTCGTAGAATTAACAGAGTCTCGAGAACCGCTTCCAGACCCGGTCTGCTCTCTAGAAAGTGCGCCAACTGCGGTAAACCGCGCTCCACCAGTTGTTGATATGAATCTGTCGCTTTGGCCGTTTGGAAGAGAAACGGGTAACGCTCGGATAGAGATTCCCCGTCCACGACCTTTATCGATAGGGAATGAGCGTGTATGCGAGCGATGGCATCCAACGCGACCGTCGCTTGGTCCAACGTTAGTCCCTCCGAGAATTTGACGCTCTCGAAACGCGAAGCGCCCAGATCGTCCAAGACTAGTATCGATTCCGGCAGCACCGGGCTGTCGTCAGTTCCGCCTGCAGGACTGTAATGAGCGTGGTAACATTCCGGAACCGGTAGTATAATCGGTTCCTCCGGGCTCGGTCCCAGCTGTCTTCGATTGAACTCCTTCAAATCTGGCATCACCTGACGTACACATACAAGTGCGCGGTATCAGGAACACATCAAACGGATAAAGATCACTTTATCATCTTATCACTTACCTGTGTATAAAACTTAATCTCTCGGAGATCGAATTGACCTTCCGTTACGAAGAAGCGGCTAAACGGATCTCTAGGGAGTTGCTTTATGATAATGGACAATCTGCGCTTATCCGACGGTTTATCCGTTGGATCTGTCGTCGGGGCCAACAAATAGTTCCCTGTAACGCTGGTGATTGCGCTCAGCACGCTCTCGCTGGTCGTGCATCCGGGGCTTACGTTGAACTTCAGGACTTCGACCTGAAGAAATCGTTATCAGGTAATCAGCAGTGCTCGAATTGAACGCATCAGGTACATCTAAGACTTATCGAAATTATATCTAAACTTTGCATCATTACGTATATCGTATATCTATCATGACTAACCGCTCTGCCGTCGTGATACTTCGACAATATGCTCTCGAGCCACTCCTTCTGGACTTCCCAGTCCGAGACAATTTGCTCCTCCCCGCACGAAGTATCGGTCTCGTCATCCAGGTCCGACATAGTTCCCTCGTTGTCCCTTAGTAGGTTTCCCTTCCTATTTCTCTTTTGCAATCTCCTCTGCAGTCAGGTCGGGCGTTTTTTTTTTTTTTCTTTTTTTTTTCACTCAGCCAACTGGTCTGGCCTCTCAGCCAGTATTAACAGTAAGGCATGTATGCTGCCGAATGACGATACCCCACCGATGTGCAGCGGACTATATTATACCCACATCTACTCAATTACCATACGTACACATACATGTACACGGTATGTCTGCCACACCGTGAAATCAGCGTCGCTGAATGAAACCCTCCTCGTTACGTGTCGCTGCCTCTTCCCGGTTACGTCCGTCGTCGCCGATCCTGCGCCGATTCGCGACGGACTGGCGTAGTTCGACGACCCGACATGGGAGAGGAGCGCGGCTACCTCGACACGCCCTCCGGAGCCGCCGACCGACCGCTTCTTCCACGACCTAGGCGCCCTGAGCGCGCGTTACCCTTGATTGACGCGGCGCCGACGTGGACCCCGAGGTACTGGCCGATGTGGGCGACGCATGTTCCATTGTCGCTCACCTCAGGGCTCGTCGCCGCAAGAGTGGGACGAGGAAGAGGTAACGACATGCGCGCACATGCCTACTCCCGATCAATATCCTCTTCCTTCTGCCCCTCCCTGGTGACTCTCCTCTCCACCACCTCTTCCCCCACGTTCTCTATGTCGCTCCGTTCCGGAATCTGTCAGGAAATCTGAAAATCGGCGCGCCTTTGCCTGCATTCGCGCCATCATCGGCTACGTCGATGACTGGCAACCATTGCCTTTGTTCTATTTCTATCCAATTATGAGAGACACGACAAGGGAAAAATGCATGGAAATGCATACAATGACGATTTAGTTTCCTGCTCTGCAGTTTCCTCCTCAGATAAATGAAACTCTAAAATTATAAACCGATGAACTAAGATACCTCGAAGTTGAGATTTGATTTAGATATTATTATCTTTATATAATGATAAGATTATAATTATCGTCCCGTAGATGAAAGAGACCGGATGTTAGGTCATAAGTGATCTGTTTAAATTGATTACATATTTTTCGGTTGATGATAAGCAACATTAAATGTTGGACTTTTATCATCGAATTTCCTTACGTCGTTAAATTATATCGGTGGCCTTCGATGTATCTGCTTCTATTTATATTACTTAACAGGCTCTATTATTTACAAGAGAGAAGGAAGCCTTAAAGACACGCTAACTATATTATCCCTATAAAGACACACTACACTTTGATCATAATTTTTTCTTGTCCTGACAAGCGATGCGTTAAGAGAGATAAAAATTTCTCAACAAGAAGAGACACATTTATAATTGATTTTAACTCCTTTGTTTTAACTCTCCGCAGGTTTTAGTGTCACCAGTATTGGCAGGATTGGCTGTGGGTATCGGTGTACCCATTTTATTGTTCTATGTCTACGGTGTGGTTCCGGTGTCGCTCTGTCGAAGCGGAGGTTGTGGAGTTTCCACAAGTGGTACCGGAGTACGTTTCGATTTTGACGACGAAAACGAGCTCATGGGGGCTTTAGGCGTGCGCAATGGCGGAGGTAAACATTTATCCACACGTGTCATCCGATTAAATCCTTTTTAATTACAATACCTTTTTAATTACAATACTGTTTGTATCTCGTGTCGAAAGTTGAATGATTGGATTTACAAATTGCTGTAATGTTGCAGATGCAGCATCGATAGACGTCGCGAGTCACCGCGGTGGTAATCCTTCGATAGGGGAGGCTTCGCTTTCGTTGGGTAGTGGTAGTCAATTGGAGAAATTGGGTCGGGAAAATGATCGTGAAAGTGCCAGCAACGTGGCCCTGGCTGGCACTAGTCTTGCGGGAAGTATAGCTTCCAGCGTACTTCCTGGAGGTCAAAGGTATATTATTCTCGTGCGATTTTGATAGCGCTCCCTCTTCTCTCTGTAATATATTATACATAGCATATCTTTATTACATATACAGGTTGGAAGTCCAGGCTGACGTTACGTCTACGCAACGCTTCAGTTCATGCAGCGAGACCGCTTCCGCAGCTACTAGTTTATCAGAAAAATCCGTAAATGCTTCCATCGCTTTAGATGATGGCGCAGCTTCCACAAGAGCTTTGGCTGGTTCAGTTCTTAATTTTAAGGTTTACTTCGTATACTTATATCATATATTAAATTCGATTAAAAGAAATTAACGTAATTTCTAACTAGTATTATTATCGTCTTTTATATGCATGTATAGATCGATGGCAGCTCGATTAGCGGTGGCAGAAGCACAGAAGGAGAACAGGCGGCTAGCTCTACTAATGGCGGTCACATGGACTCTGCTGGACAAGCCACTTCTTTAAGTTCGTTAGAAGAAATGGCACCTGGCTTAGCAAAACGCACTCGTCGTAAGCTCACATTTGATCGTCAATGCAGTGATTCGAGTAACTGGACTACGTGCGGGGAGGACGGCGGTTCGGAACGAGTCCGTTTCGATGATCACGTCAGTGTGATCGAAGCGGATCAAGAGAGGGTGGTAGGTAGCAAATTGGAAGGCTGCGGAATAAATAATCGCTCAACAGGAGGCCGTAAGCGAAACAAAGATTCAGAACCAGAAATGGACTCACAAAAGATATCCAAGTACGAATCACGAGACTAACAACAAATACCAAAACTCGTGAAATTACTGCGTTTGTTAATGAACGTGTTTGTAGGAATTTGAACGGTGAATTGAGCGTCGAGAGTCCTGTAGAAGACATTTCGCGGGAACGCGTCAACGTGGCCACTTTAAGGAACGTATTTTTTCACACTTCAGCGGTATCTACGGATCGCGAGAAACGATTGTCTGTTATAGAGGAGCCAATACCAACCGTGTCGCAGATCTCTAGTAATCGAATGTTCACGCCTTGTGATGAAAGACAAAGCCTTACTAGTACAGACGAAAGCTTGCATTGCTAAAAAAATTAAGACTGAACTTGTGGGTGTCAAGATATACACGTGTTTCGATAAAACGTCACGACGTATGTAGATGCGTATATACATTGTTGAGTGTGTATATATGTATTAAATTACATAATACTATATAATGCGCTGATTGTACATAAAAACATACGCAATATGCATATACTTTGAATATTACAAGGGAAGAAATAAAAGTACGGTAAAATAATTTTAGTAACTGTGCATTTGCGCTGTGATTATACATATACCGGAAACTTACTGAGCGTATTATATATATATATATATATATATATATATATATATATGTATATATATATATATATATATATATAAATAAATATGTATACGTACTGACCTCCAATTCGTTATAAACAATGGAAGAAAAGGTCGATTATACAAAAAATTTTGTTCTCGTAAATATTTTGTTGACAATTATTTTATAAACACAATTTAAATTCTCCGGACTATTAAAAGTTAGATAGCAGATGATAATGCGTAAGTTTCATCGAAAATTAACTTTTCTGAAATTAAATGATAGTACAAGGCATAAATTTTACTAAGTGCAATACTAAATTGCTTAAATTAATCTCGATGCTTAAATTAATCTCGAATCTAAGATTCATTTTTAAAATCCCTTGTAACCCACTAAAGAAGCAGACTAGACTAAAAAAATGTCAAGGAATCGCTGAATCGGAAATTCGGATATCAACAAAATTTGTGCTCTACATACAATTTTTCATTTAGTTCAGAAAAGTAATTTTCCTTGAAACTTTCATCATCCACATCTGATTCTTAAGAAACCGAGGATCTTAAATCCTGTTTTTAACTTGAGAATCTTATCATTCTTTTACTTGATATTTTATATATGAATATTACTATTATACAATAGATGAAATGATTCTATTATTTATATCTAGATTATTTCCAAATATTATCAAAATCTGATTTGTAACGGGTGGGCGGTCAATATAAGCTAAGAAAAGAATATACAAAGATGAAAGTTAATGTCGCGAATTATCGCTGCATTTTATAAATCGAATACTGCTCATTATGTCTTTAAGTATTACGCGTTCTTGTTTAATCTATCGGCCAATATATATATATAAGAATATTTGAATATGCATATTTCACAGAAAACCTATCTGTCCTTGCTGTATAAAAATATATGTACTATGACAAATAGCCTTATTTCTATCAAACATCCTATCACATAAATGTCAATTTTATATATTTTATTCTTATAAATTAAAAATAATCAAATCAAAAAGCTTCACAAAATCAAAAGCTTCACAAAAGAAATTCTGAATACACTAGAAACTCAGATTTTAAATTGACACAAATTGCTGTATTTTCTTAACACATGCAAATTTTATTAGTTACATTTAAACAAAATTTATATTATAAATATATTTGAAATCAGTAATGCATTTATATATATGTATATAAATACAATATAATTGTAATATGTAATATTATATTAATTGCACACATTGATTTCAAAAAATTGCATAATTAAATCCTTGTTTCTCCAAAAGCTATAATTAAAAATATTTTTACAAAATTATATATGTAATATCTGTACGAATGTATCGTGATTTAATAATATTAAATCATGCAGAAAGAGATAACTGTTTTCAAATATAATTTTATTTGTTTCTTCCTTTCTTAGCAAATATATATTGCAAATATATAATTTTTCTCTCTATATATATATTCTAGTATAATTTGTTAAATATTTTTATTAGAAATAATCTTGTGTGTTTTTTTCATAAAAATGGTTAAAGTATATGCAACAAAATTTATAATATTAAATATATATATTAAAAAATAATTTAGTTTTAATTACAATATTATTTAAGATACTTAAACACTTTATGAATGATGTTTAAATATGATTCTCAAATATCTATTATGTTTATTGCATATAAAACAAATATTAATTAGAATTATTATCTAATATATTTAGAATAATACTCGCATTTATTATATAATCTATAATTATATAAGAGATTATATAATTTTATTTGCCTGTATTTGCTTATTATTAATATTGTACAATACAAAAATATTTTTTAAACACGCCTTATTATTATTTTACATATTACATATTGTAACATACATTGTATATATTTCTTTAAAAGTCACAATAAACTACAAAAGATTAAAAATGAAAACAAAACAAAATTTCTCTCTTATAGAATTATGAAAAATTCAAAAAATATCTAACTTTAACTTAAAATATAATGCATATTTTTGAGATTTATTTCATTTCAATTTTATATTATTATATATACTTATAAATGACATATATAACTAGCTCAAGTAATCCAGAGTAACACAGAAGTTATTCAATGTTCTCATTTTATCTTAAAACTGTCAATTTTCAATTTCACTTCTTTCATAAACTATGCGAATGCTTAACCTGTATCATTATTGCTACATATTAGATAATATTTGATACTTAATCAGTCTGTTATTAAAAAATACTCAGCTCCTTTTGTATATATATGTATATAAAGAATTTATTTTTTATTATTTATAATGATCGACTTAAAAATAGAGGAGATTTTTTAAATAATTCATCTACTTTTATTTTAAATAATTCACTTTGTATAGGTTCATTTAATTGGCATAGTGGATTTTTTACTACATATTCCAAATATACCTAAAATGAAAAATATACAGATAATATATAGATATATATAGATAAATTTGTATTTCCACTAGAAACAGGTATAAAATCTTACTTCTCTGTACAATTGTTGCAATAATTCTCTGGCATTCTGACTCGCGTTATCGGTATTCAAGACAAACTTAAGTCCTGATGGTGTTTCAAAATAATGAAGTGTATATTTGCTTGTCTTGTAATACAAAAATCCTTCCTTAGGATCCAACGGTGAGATTTTACTTACAAACGATTTTATAGAAAATAACATTCCATACATCAATTTTGCTTCCTAAATTTTATAAATATATCTGTGATAAAATTGTTAAGGATTGTTCATAATTGTTATAGGATTACCATATTTATTAAATTTTGCAACATTTAGCATTGACAAATTGATACTTAAGTACTTAACAATTTAACAAATTAACAAATTAATATTTATTTAATTACTTAACAATTTAACAAATTAATACTTGAAACATAAATGCAATATTATCTTTTACATTCATGTATGTATATCTCTCTCTATCATTGTATAATGTTTGCGTGTTTCAAAATTTAAGATTTCTGATATATAATAATAACGAATATGAGTTACTTATATGTTATAACAATTATAATTTATCATCATTAAATGTCTGTAATGCATCAAAAATAAGACTTTAACCGAGAGAATAATGATTATATTCTCGATTACATTACCTCCTCCTTTGTTATCCCCGATTTATTTAACCTATTCCACTCAGCATAATACAATAATATTCCAGTTTTCGAAAAAATATACAAGTTATGAATCGTCATGGTTATTCTCTTTTTATGCCAGAATCCATCAATAACCGTTGTTTTGACGTTTCGACAAAAATGTCTTCTCCGATTTTAGCGCAGTCAGAGCGCTATCAGAGAGAAGACTGAGACGTGGACATGAACTACGAAGCCAGTGTCCACGAATGTTCTCAGAGAGTAACATAGTGTGCACAATTTCTGGTTTTGTTCCATGCTATGTGCACGAAATGTCGGTAGCACTAGTGTTGTATAGCAAGACGCTTATGTATGTACAGAGTGTTTCTTAATAAGTACGAAAAATTTTAGAAAATGATTATCGAAAATTAAGGAGGCCTTTTTAATAAACATATACTTCTACATCTCTCCCTGTGGAGTTACACTCCTCTAAAAATGATAGTAAAAAGGTTTTCCTTTGATAATCAAAATATATTTGGATTATGAAAGAATAAAACAATAAAACAATTGAATTATATACGCAAATAATTAGCATAAAGGCTCTGATAAATTGTTTAATAAATAATCAATTTAATCAATAAATTAAAACACTTCTATAATTTAATATTCCGCGTTAGTGTATATTTTATAATATAAATAAATAAAATATTTTGGCAACAAATTATCAATAACATTACGTTCGATTTTGGCGACGTAAACAGTAGCATGCTATTGTTTGTATGTATGATTTTGCTCGGTGACACTCGAGCAGTAAAGTAATGCGAAATGCTTCGTATGTTAATTAATTATTTAATAAATAATCGATTAACTAATTTATAAATTAAAAAACTTCTGCAATTTAATATTTTCATGTATAACAATATATGTTATAGTACGTAAAATATTTCGGCAACGAATTATTAATAACATGGTGTTCGACTTTGGTAATATAAAATATAAACAGTAGCGCTGTTATGGCTTTATCATCATTCGCACGATGACACTTGAGTAATAAAGTAGTGATGCAAAACGTTTCGTAAATTGTAATTATTTTATTAAACACGATTACCATTAGTATCGAAACATAATTTTCTATAAATATTAATAATTAAAAATTAATTAACTTTTGATGAACGACATGAAACTGTATCGCAACGATAAATCTTTAGTGAATCGCAATCATTCATTACTGCGAATAAAAATTAAAGAGGAATCATCTAAAAGCGGGACACCTTTCAATCTTCTTTCTGTATATATTGTATTTTAAATTCATAATTATAAATAATGAAGAATATAAAAGATAAAAGAAAATATATTCTTTATGAAGCAAAATATGTTAAAAATAATTGATTTTGTAAAATTAATTATCATGCGCAAGTTGTTTCTTAAATTGTTATTTAAATAGTGTAAAAATTATATAATTAACAAAAATTTCTTTTTGGAGATAAAATTTTGAAAGATATAAGTAAAAAAAATCTAATTTTTATACATAATATGTTTCTAAATAATTATATTATTAAGAAATATTTTAAATATTAAAATATTTAAAAAAGTATATATATATATATATATATATATATATATAAAAATTAAATAATACAAAAATATTTTGTTATAGACATTTTAAGTATTTAAAATTAAAATTTGAAATGTTGAAGTGGAGGGACACTCTGCACGAAACTCTCAGTCGTGACATAATCATACGAAATACACACTTTATTATATCGTACTATATCGTAACACGACATTTACACGAAATCAGAATCGTGCTTTACTTGCTAAGATCAAAAGATTTAAAAAATGAATGAAGTTGTGATATAGCAATTATTTAATTAAAAATTAATTTATGTTCATATTTTAGAAAAATTTAAAATATATATATGATTCTTAAGTATCGTTAAATAAATAATTATTATTCATAAGAGTCTATAATGAGTCTATAATGAGTCTATAATGAAAGTTTATATTTTTTTGTTTCAATTTTTACTTTCAATAATGAATGATTACGCTTCCATAAAGATTTATCGTTGCGATACAATTTTATGTTGTTTATCGAAAATTAATCAATTATTAATTATACATTGAAAATGTGACGATACATCAATTAAGTGACCATAATTTTACTACTTTCACGATGGTAATTTTTTAAATTAAATTTACCGCCATGCAGAAATCGCGATTTAACATTTCATGATGAAACGTGACAGTTAAATAAATCGACGATACTCGGAATATTCGATTGATACGCGTAATTACTGTAATAATCTATAACACACACGAAGCCTATAACACACACGCAGGCGATTATTATTATCACACTTTACGCGAAGATATTTCGACAAACATTTGAGATTTATAATATGAAATGTTTGCGAATATAGAATTCATTGTCCGATTTATTTTTCAATACACGATTTTATACGAATGCCGCGATTAAGAATAAGATACACATCTCGCGGATAATTAGCTAAATAGGATAACAAATGGATTTTATACGCCTTAAAATATCATTATAAAAAATTGCGTTATTATTACGTTTTATAGAAAATGACAGATTTATCAAGTTTCGCCGGTGGGGATAACATGTTGGTTGATATTTGACAAAAATCAGAAGAACAATCTTAAAGATGGAGAATGATCAACGCCTTTTTTTTACATCAGATCCCACCGACCGGAAGAGTTAAATGACCTGTTGAATATTAAAAATCTAGCTGAAGAAGGAATAAAACCTAGATTTTTCGGACTGTTCTCTAATAATTTTCCGATATTAATAAATTGAATTACTTCGGTAATAAATTAATAAGAGTTACCCTTCTCCCCATCGTCAATTATCTTAAATTATTCAATAATTATTATTATATATGAAGAAAGACTGCTATATCATTAATAATACAGAATTCTTTGAAATATATAAAATAATATAAGTTAAAACCGGTTTAGAAGATCGAACGTTGCGTAGGGTACATTGGCGTAAGCAACTTTTTTTCTATACTAAAGAAACTTAGTTATATTTTTTGATTACGAAAAAATGGATATTGTTTTAGTCAATTGCTTTGGATATTATTTTAGTCAATTATTTTCAATATTCAATAGAATATTCAATATAAAATATCTCTGAAAAATAAATTGTCAAAAAATAATACAACAATTATTAATTTTATAGCATTTCTACTTGAGTATTATATGTAAAAAAATCTTCCCGTATGCTTATTTGTAAATAAATAAAAATATAATGTCTTATGTAAGATTTTTTGTACATATATATATATATATATAGAAATCGTTATTTCACATTTTTTTAAATAGTTTTCTTGATAAAAAACCTACAAAAATTTGACTTAAAGATAAAAAAGAGACAATAGTAATTTACAATCATTATTATGTCTGTTCTTGAGATCACTATAAGAAATTCTAGAGGACCAGATGCAAAAAATAGTTATTTTTACATCTTATTCAGAGATGAGTGATTGATCAAATAGGCAATGTGAGCATAGGCGAGATCCTGTTATAAGATATGCCTGCAGAAAGGATCATCATGTAAATTAGCAGAAATTACGAAGTGAATTTGTGTGTGCGACGCGGCGCAAAAAAAAATAATAGCATGAAAAATAAGATGATATCTGAACGATACGTTCCATGAAATCTTCTGCGATTTATTTGGCTAAATTTATGCATTACTAATGCTTCCTGGTACCACATAAATTATCCTTTTATTCAGACAGATATTTTTCTTTGAATCTGCTGATTTGAAGTTTATCTTTTCTTAGCAAGACTAGGAAATTATTTATTGCATTTATTTTTAAATTTTTTATACCAGATATCTTTGTAACTAGAACTTAAATTAAAATTCTCTGTTAAAGTAAAGTTGAAATTAACTGAAAGTAGTTTCGTTATGTTATCTCATTCCTTGGAATTTAATTTCAAACAAAATTCTTTTTATTCAATCATTTATTTTATTAATCTATAGTTTATTAATTTTCGTTAAAAAAATTGAAATCTCTAAATTGATCAAAAAATCAGGATTAAACGATTCACGGCTTATGCCCGATTTCATCAACCGCTTTTAACTTTAATCTTAGTTTAACTCACTTTTTGTCTCTTTCTAAAGGAAGAGTTAGAAGGAGATAAAAAGTGAGTTAAACTAAGATTAAAATTAAACGCAGTTGATGGAATCAGGCATTAATAGTAACGATGCGTAATCCACGCCGATAATTGTTGGAAACGGAAAGATTATATATAACAAGAAATATATAACCATAAGTGTATCCAAAAAAATTGTGCAATTTAGACAGAACCTCTATAAATTTTTTATATTGTGCATTAGCAATATACAGGTCTTAATACAAATCATGACTCATCATAATTAACTTCAATCAATTGATACATGCTAACTTTATGAACATTCCGTTTCTCTGCACATTTAATTCTTTTAACAAACTTGTATATCGTTAAAAATAAATTAAATTTTAGTTAGCAAACAGATATCTATATATCTAGTAATTATCTATATATCATTTGCTAACATTTATAACATATATATTTATTAATAATTAATAATAAATAAACAGTAGATAATAATTTTTATTTTTGCTAGAAATAAGTTGAAAAATTCATTAAACATATCTATGTCTATCCCTGATTTACGCCGATAATTTTCTTCGAAATATACATGTCTCTATAGTACATATGTAGTCTATAGTATATATATCTATAGTATTCAAAAAGATTAAGAGTATAGTCAGTTTTAGACTAGCCTATGTATTTCTGGAATAAAAAGAATATCAAACTAAATAATTTTGGGAAGTTTCTTATAATGATTCGTTATGAATCTAGACATATATTAAATATAAGGTTTATTCGAAATAAGAAAGAAATTATAAACTTTGATAAATTGTAATCATTACTAAATCGAAATGTTAAAAATAAATTAAATTATTTCGCATAATCTTGATTTTATCTGATTTTATCTTATGTAACAAGAATTTCTAAAATCTAATTTTTTGTAGCTTACTCGATCGACTGAATTTCTAATTAATATATTCTGTCGATATAAGAATATAGTCAAAAGTTTTCAAAAAATACAGATTAATATTTCAATACTCTAGAATACGAATGATTTAATTATAAACTGTTCATTATTATGCAAAAATGTAACGAAAAGCGCGCGAAATACATATATATATATATATATATATATATATATATATAATTGTATTTCGCGCGCTTTTCGTTACATTTATATATATATATATATATATATATATATATATATATATAGAATTAAAAATATATCTAGATTCAGCCAATTCTATCGAGAATGGATCTTGTAAAATGTTACTTAAATTATATAAGTGCTTACTATAAATTTTATTGATTATTGAGATTATTGAGACAGAATTTGATATTTGTTTAATGTTGATAGAAATATAGTAAAATTTAAAAACAAAATATAATCATAAATTAATGGTAGAAATCAAATAAACCTTGGCATACTTTCAATATTTTGAGAGAAATTGGAATCTGTATTTAATTCGAGAGTTCTCTTATTCGGTTTTTACTGCTAATGTCAACAGAATGTAAGCTTAATGCGAATTGATAATACAGCCTGTACTTCTGCTCAAATCTGTTGACAAACTGTAGCTAATATTTTTCTCGTTAGGACAGCAAAATATTAAATGTTGACTACGTAGTCTTTATGATGCGAAAGATACCTATCTCAATTATCAGGCTCTATCACATGAAACGAAATTATATAAAATTAACTAGGATGATGTATAATTACACCTATTATAAACGATTCGCAGAATAAGCATATTTTGGTCCACGTAATCATAATATTCTAAGAATACATAATAATTCTAAGAATATCTGTTTATATTATATACATAGTGATTTCCGCAATAGATAGTATTATCATTAGTGAAATATTTATTCCGAATAATTACAATACAAAATATGATACTTATTTATTATCAAGAAAGAAATATTACGTATATATACATTTAATTTACAGGAAAGAAATTTTGCTTAATAATTTATCTCTGAAAGATTACATATGTAATTCTACATCTAAGAAAACTAATCATCATAACAGTGCACATAATTGAAATAATAAGACAAAATTAGTGCTCAAGCACCTGACATTTTGTCATGGATGTCATTAAATGATGTTAGATTTGGATTCTTCATTACCGCTACATCACGTCATCGTTACGTGACTATAATAATTAATGGTCATTGCATTGAACATTTTTCACTTTAGTGACTTTTTAACGACTTGCTCGTCTATGCTTCTTCTAATTAAAATTTATGTAATTCTGTTCGTTTTTATTATTCCTCGTTATGTAAAGCTTAGAAAATACAATGTATCTAGAAAAAATATTAATATCATATATGATAACGGTCAATACAATGGAAAACAGAAACGGAATATTAAAAATGTTGAATTTTTGTTTCAATTGTGCGTGGCTTAATAAAAAATAACTTAATGTTTTATCCCAAAAAAGAAACTAATTATTTCTCACGTAGATATTTTCATATTTTATATATATATATGAAAGAGAGAGAAAGAGAGAGATTCCGGTCTCTTAATTTAAATTAAATTTTTTTTATATTATGTTACAATTTTGAATAACTTGATAAATTAAAATCATAAGAAAAGTTATTTTAATGTGTACTTTATATATATCATGCTATGACATATAGAAAAATTTTATTCTATTCAAAATTAAATACAATGCTATAATTTTTTTCCGTTTCATATAAGCAAAGTATCGCGAAGATTAAAATTAATAAGATTTTCGTAATCGGATATATAAATATGTTTCATTGCAGATTTATTATAATTTGAGCAATTGATGTTTATGACAATCTATCAAGTTTTTTCAATATTTTATTCATTTTATTTCATTTTTTCAATATATTATTTATTTTTGAATGCCTTTGAAATTGCTAAACACGAAAATCTGATCAAAATTGTAAATAATACGATACATCAATACACAATAGCACATATCCAGACACAAAAGGTTGAAAGATTCCTTAAAAACGTCTAGAGAATTTTAAGATATCTTTAAGTCATCTTTTGGATACATATGCTATCTGGGTATCTAATATAGCGATCATAAATTAAATAATTATTCAATTGCAATAATAGATCTAATATTTAATTTTTAATTTCTAATAATTTCTAATAATTTTAATAATTTTAATTTATAGAACATGAATTTCTTTTTAGAGTAATCAAAATTTTATAACAATATAATTAATTTTAAAAATTCTAACTGTATATAATTTCTTCCTCTTGGATTTCTTCAAGTTTTAAGCTGTATTTTAATCAATGATTAACGAACTTTTTCAAATAATTTTGCAAAGTGAAAAATTAATAGCTTATTATACAATTGTTAGTTAATAATAAATCAGCATTCTGATTAATTAAAAATTAATAACAAAATTTGAAGACCTAAAAACATGCATCTGTTTCTATTGTGTTAAACAAAAAATGCAATTTATTACGAAATTATATAATAATATACATTTTGGAGGGGTATAACGAATGTGTGTGTGCTCTCGAATATTTTTCCATTTTGTGATGCGCACGAAAAGAAATATTGAATGGAATATATGTACATATCTATATCTCTCCATATCTACACATATATATCTGTTGCGTCATGGCGTCATCTCAACCTATAAAAACTCAGAACATCTCGGGAATATTCAGTAACTACTTGATCGTAAACCTAGTCTTCATCGCGAAGGAGAAACAAAACTCGAATATGAAGGCAGTTATTGTTGTATTTGCCGTTACCATTGTTGCTGTCTTGGTAAGATTATTTTTTTATTAAAAATATTAAACAATTTATATTTTATATTTTATAATATATATATCTAGATAGTCAATTGTTTCTGAAATCGCTGTCATGTTACCACAATTGTTGACAACATAATCACACTATAATTAATCATATTAATTAATATGACAGTAATATGATATTAATCAATATGATTAATGACGCTTGTTACTTAAAGATTAGATTATCTGAGTGTACATATAGGATGGCATCGTATATTCCAATCAGACAGCCAGAAAATTTTATTTTCTTACATTGTTTAAACAAATCTTAGCATAAGAAGGATTAAAAAAAATACAAAAAGTGAAAAAAAACTAATAAATTTCTTCGAAAAAATAAATAAATAAAGATAAAGATACTTTTATTTTTATAAAAATAAAATAATTTCTTGTAAATTAAAATAACACTTTATAATAAAAAATAAATGAAAACATAAAAAATTTTTCATCATCTTATGATAAGATTTGTTGAAGCAATGCAGAAAAATATAAAATTTTTTTAGTGGAATAAAGCAAGAAACTAACTAAGCATAAATAAAAAACATTTTTCAAAAGTTCTATTATCAATCCCGAAAAACACTTTTTTATGCGTTTCACAACTTGTTTTTATTATCTCAAAATCTAAAGTCTAGTAAAAATATTTTAGTCTCATTCGAAAGATAATTTATTTTTCTATAACTTTTGTTTTGATACTTTTTATTAAAATAGGAATATTTTCTCAAATATTTGAAAAAATATACAAAACAACGTCAGATTTTTGGACGTTAAATTTTTAAGGAAGCATTTTTCAGCTTATGTTTATAGGAAACATTTCGTTCAGAATTATATTTTCTATTAAATCATAAAGTCTGATTAGAAGTCTTTTTAGAATGTTCAATGCTATCTTATATATAATGTACGTGCACAAGATGTTACCAAGATTACTGTATTACATTTTCGCTGAGAAAAATCGTCTTCAAATGATCTCAAAAACCTACTATCTATCTATTAGCAGTACTTTATCCTGGGATATCTCATATATATGACTTTATTATATTTTATTTATTTTATAAAATATATTTAAAATTTATATATGCTTTTAATATTGTTACTTTATAAAATATATTTAAAATTTATATATGCTTTTAATATTGTTATAAAAATGAGTTCGTAAGAATAATTATTTATTTGGGTGTGGCTCCATCGATAAATCGCTCTTTTATATTTTTTAGGATCATAAGTTCAGTTTGTGATAAACAATATTTTATCTTTATGTATGCTCACAGAAAAGTAATTTTACTGTTAAATCTGTGACACGGTTGTCAATTTATTGATTTATATTTAATATATGTCCAATTCATGAACTATAATTTTTATCTGTTTTTGTGTAATTAAATATTCATTTTGACGTATTAAAAAATTAATTTTATCAGAAAGAAATAATAGCTTTTTTCGAAAATATATACACTTTATTTAATAGATCGTTAAAAAAGTATGGTGTGATATAATTATATCATTCTATTATATAATTCAGATATGAGTCTTTTCTAAAGTTTAAACTTTTTAATAATTTACATGTTTTATCCAATGTATTTCTTTTCAATAGACTCATTGTAACATTACTGTTGCATTTAAAAGTCGCTTTATTGTGAACTTTGTTGAAAAAGTACATACATTTCTTGACTGATTCATTTACACAAGAAAATAAATAAAGTCAATAAGGTATATAATACAGATCATGATTCTTATCCATATCAGTTTTTCCTTTTATGTAATTTTGGATTTGCATTAAAATTCTTTCGAAATTATTTGTTAAATTTGATTTTTTCTATAGTTTCTATAGTTCTACAGTTTTATAGTTCTATATATTAAAAAATTTATATATATATATATATATATATATATATATAAAATGTTCCATTTAAAAAATAGAAAATATAATTTTAGAAAATATAAACAAAAGTATCTTCCATTATTTATAAGTGTTTTATCGCTACTTTTAGGTCATTATCTCCAGATTTGAGATAAAAAGTATTTATGAAGAGAATCTTTATCTGTTATGTTTTGCCTTGTATTTTTTATTATTAACGATACTTACTTACATTTTAAATTAATTGATTTTTAAATTAATTTAATTTTAAATTAATTAGTTTTACTGTTTATTGCAATCGCATATGATTATATATATATATATATATATATATATATATATAATTATATATATATATATATATATATATATATATATAATTATATATATAATCTTGAAATTATTTGTTCTCTAATTTTCATTTTGCTGATTCTTTTTAATTTAATTTCTAGCATTTCTTATTAAAACAATTTCATTTAAAATACAGCTTATAAAAAATGTGTGTATATGTGAGCAAATATTAAAATGCTTACTTAATTTTAGGGTGGAATCACAGATGAACAAAAAGCAAAACTGAAGCAATACAAAGAATCTTGTATCATAGAATCTGGCGTTGATCCAAGTAAGCGTAGAATAATATAAACATAAACATTAACATAAACATATATATATATATATATATATATATATATATATATATAATAAATTATATATATATATATATATATATATGAAATATATAATTATATATATATATATATATATATATATGAAATAAATTTGTATGATAATGTATAATAAAAAATCTATATATAATAAATCTGTTTAGTTGTCGTAGAAAATGCGAAAAATGGACAAGTAGCTGAAGGAGATGAAAAACTCGCCTGCTTCGGTAATTGCATCTTAAAGAAACTTGGAATTGTAAGTGCAAAAGCGAGTTGCATTATATATCGAAATGCATTAATTAATAGATAAATAATAAATTTACTTTTACACATATTCTAGATAAATGCGAATGGAGACATTGACTGGGAAGTAGCTCGTTCAAAAGTACCTCCCGGTATATCACAAGAACAAATCGATCACGTATACAATAAATGTCAAAACGTTGGTAAGTGCAATTATCTGAAGAAATAAAATCAGTATTTAATTGTTTGCAAAATTGATGTCAGTGCAATCTTGCAATATTGTAAGTACTCATTTCAAATGGAATTAGAATAAAACAAATATTGTTTTAGCTGGAAGTGGTTGCGAAAAAGGAGCCAATCTGTTGAAATGTTTCAAGGAGAACAAAAATTTTGCTGTTTTATCATAAACGGATGAAATTAAACATTGCGAGATTTAATCTGATCTATAATTAAATTTATCTTTATTTTAGATGATATAATAAAAATGTTATCTTTTATAGCATTTATATTGATGTAAACTTGTTAGGGAAGAAATAAATGAATAATTTTAGTTCAACTTAAAAAACAGCATTTTCTTATTTCTTTATTCTTTTCTATAAACATAAATTTTTTATTTGCATGTCATAAATATCGAGCCAAAATGGTCTAGAATTATCTACTATTACGATAAATATAATTTACATTTATATTACGAGAAAAAAATAAATTGTAAATCTGAAAGCAATATGGTTCTTGTTTGATATGGTTCTTATTTGATTATACATATATTGAGACTTTATTCTGCTTGAAAATTAAAGTTACAATCATTGATAACTTTGAAATTTATTTACATGATATTTATAACGTTGGAATATCAGTTGGAATCGTCAGTTTTCAGTGATCTTTGAAAAAAGTAAGGTAAGAAAGCTGCAGTTCTTTTCTTTTATATACTTTTCAAATAAAATCTATTTTTATCGGAAATTATTTTAAGAAAAATAATACTCTGCATTTTGTTTTGTTCTTTTAACGAAAAATAATTCATTGATTTAATCGTGCACATTTTATATGCAAGATGTCTGATATAAGATATAAAGTTGATCGCGCATGTTTCGACTCTTGTCTTTTCGTTGCCGTACAACACTTGTCTTTAGCACATCTATAGCGCACATCTTATAGTATCTATACACGCGAATCACGTTTATTAGAGAATCTTCTTTAATTAATATTTCGAAATTTTATATAGTTATTTACAAAATGATAAAGGACATTTTAGTTCAGTTTAACGAGATCTACTTATATTTTTGATGAGACACCTTATATTAGACACCCTGTATATATTTTTTAAATATAAACAATCTATATTGAATTTATATGAATTTTTGTTGTCAAGCAATGTTTTGTTTTTCATTTTTATATTGCTTCATTAAATAAGACGCAGAGAAACATTAGTTTTATTAACTTTGTAGATGTATATTTTTTGAATATATGTTTTTATTGCGATTGCAAATAACAATAGCAAATTCTTACACACGATAAATTTGGATATATCAGGATCTGACTTATAAGATATCTTGTGTGGATTTTTACACGATTACGTTATATTTTTATTAAATATAACGTTTATATATACAACTTTTTTTCATAAAAATAAAATAAAAATAAAATAAAATAAAATAAAAATAAAATAATGTTGAATATATAATATGCATAATGGTTTTCTTCGGTTTTTGTAATGCATCAATTTGTTACATTCATGTAATATCCGTGTTAAACTATTTACATGTGATTGGGATGAATTTCATATGAATCGGATGAGAAGGACGAATTATCATATCTGTTTTCAACCGGACATCCTTTAAATGCTCAACGGGCTCCAGATAAAAATTATGTACTAAAGGAGCTATCATGGCTTTCATCTCCAGCAGACCGAATCGTTGACCTGCAACTCGAAGTTTATGACAAACTATCGACACGAAGAGAAACGCGATCAACCTATTTACCTATGCAATTTCTCGGTCCTGCGCTGAACGGTAGGTAACAATAAGGATGGCGATTCTGCATCCTCTCGGGTAAGAATCTATCGGGATCAAATACTTCTGGATTTGGCCAAAAATTGGGATCTCTGTGAACTGCGTAGATATGAAGATATAAGATCGTTCTAGCGGGGACGGTGTATGATTCTGAAAAGCATATTATAAAATTAAAAAATATTAAAATATTACGAAAATAAGTATTATATTGAAAAAAATAAAATACATAATATTGCATTCTTAAAATATTAAATAATATTAAATATTAAATAATTATAATTCTTAAAATATTAAAAAATATTAAAATATTAATGTATTAATCCTATTTTATATTCGATAATATATAACCTGTAACATATTCAAAGATATATATGTAAGAAAAAAGTGACTAATTACGTAATTTTACATCATCTGCAGCGTATCGTGATATTACAAACACGCTGGGATACAAACGTAGTGATTCCTTTAAACATCTATCTAAATATGATAAATTTTGCAGTGATTTCATATCAAGTTTTTCTCCATTCTCTTGCATCACGTTATTGATTTCATTCCTAACACGTTCCTGCGTGATATATGTGGATAATAATTAAAATATAAAATAATTAAAATATTTCTTAATATTATAACATCTATGTGCATTGATATAAATAAATTCTTCATAAATGAAAATAAATTATTCATTTATTATTTACAGATGTTTTTTTGAATATTTGTACATATATTTTACATACTAATATATATAGGAAAAATATATCACAACAAAAACTTAATATCTATACTACTTTGAATGAACATCGTAATTTAAATCAAATTATATCAAATTATATATCGCAATATATTGAGAAAAGGTACCTGAATATTCTTGTGTTCAGCTAATAGTAATAAAGCAAACATTATGCCCATCGCTGTGGTATCATGACCCTATAATCATCATCATATTACCATATTATATGTGTTTAGATAATGTATACAAAAAAAATTAATAAATAGAAATTACAGGTGCGTACTTCGAACATAAAAGTATCTACTTCTTCTCTGATGTCCAAATCAGTTAGAGAATTTTCTAGAGATGTTGCTATTAAAAGGTCCAACATGGCTATCCGCTTTTTTTTAACTAGGAACAAAGAATATTAGTAGTCTCATTTTTGCGTGTCACGCTTTATTATTTATTAAACATTATTTATTAAATATTATTTTTGTTTCCAAACTCTGTTATAAATAATAATGATTTATTGAATTTTATAGTATTTTATATATATTGCACTATTACGTGTAATTATGTGTTTAGTATAATATAAATACTATAATTTGTAATATTAGATTGCTCAATCAAATTTAAATTAGAAGCTCTAATCTCTTACGTACTTCCGAATATTTCGACATCATTTATTTCTGCCTCTTTATCACTTTCAAAGTTTTTTAAATATTGACCATTGGTACGTTGATGATAAAGTCTTCTTTCCGCGATAATCTACATACGAACACAAATTTTCAAAATGATTTTTTTGTATTAATAATAGTGTGATTTTACATATAAATATTTGAAGGATTTAAATTAAGGTTCTTTACATTACATACCTTTTCCGTAAATCCATGCAATATTTTTAAGATTTTCTTTTGCTTTCTTCCTTGTGGTAACAATGAGAATATCATATCACTGTAAAGCCAAGGCCTGAATGCTCTAAATTATAATTCAATAAAGTTAACATAATTTCAATAATACATAATTTCAATAATACATAATTTCAATAATAATGTAATTTTGTAAAAATATATTATTTTTAATGTGTTAGTAAAAGTCATCCTAAATTCTCAAAGTAATCTTTAAATAATCATATGTTATACACAAGAGATTTTAAACTGTGTGTTACAAAAAAGATATACAATTATACAATTAAGATATACAATATACAGACAATAGAAACATCTAAACGTTATACTTTTGTTTTAGTTATTAATTAGATTTTTTTATTAAAGATAATTTCTCTTTAAATCTTATTATACAATTCATTTTTTTTTTAATTTTGCAATATGTTCTAATCATTTCCAATCTTTTTAACTGAAATAAAATCGTCCAATCTTTTTTTAATTGAAAATAATTTTTATTTTATAATGAAACATTTAGCAGAGCACGAGCAATACATTTTTATTGCAGCTTGTTCGATTAAACGGATTGATTTTTATTAATTAATTATCTTCTTATATTCATTAATTATTTCCCATTAACTCTCTGCCAACTATTTTCCACACACACACACATATAATTTATATGGATATAATTTTTATGGATACAGTAAATACATAATTGTATAATATATCTATGATCTTTTAAAATATAATAATATATTTTGATATATTATACAATTATGTATTTATTGTATCCATATAAATTACCTATAGAATAACAGTTCGATTAAGTCGTGAATCGCATTTCGATATTGTTGCTGGAATTCGCCGAGTTTTTGTAAAGAGACACCCATGGCAGTTTCTACAAATACATTTATTATATAGTGTATCTGAAATAATGCATTAAACTTTAATAAATGAATTTTAAGAATTAACATGGTATTCATTTATAATCTCGATTCAGAGATACTCAGAGGAAGTTTGTCTTGAGATGCAGCTTAAGCCGAGTTCATTGCATTTCAATTATCGCTACGTGAGAAAAAATCACACGTGTACATCGTAATAGTCTTTAGATTTCGTATCAGCTAAGATTTGAGTGAGGAAAAATTGCGAATGAGTGCAGTTCGAAGCTAACTTCAGGAAAAGTTGACAGAATTAATAGGATAATTTACACAGATTAATCATCAATTGATACATAGAAGTACGTTTATATTGCAATTTAATAATATATACGTCTACTTAATAATAAAAAAAGTAATAAATAATATAATATAAATAATAAGTAGTATAATTAATATAATATAAATAATATAATATAATTAATTAATATATAATTAATATAAGTAATATAAATAATAATTTTACTTCATAGTAAAAAAGTATTATACTTAATAGTGAAAATATTTTTATATAAAATTTTTGACAATGTACAGGTTAATTAAAATGAATTAGATTAAAAATTATAAACAATATGATATTTATGAAAATTATGATCAATATGATATATATAATATATATGACATATGTAAAATTTTTCTTTTTTTGTGTCGATAACATTCTGTCACTTTTGTATACAGTGTGTATCTGAAATGATGCACTAAACTTTAGCAGCTTATTTTAGAGGTCAAAATAAGACTTTTTTTTCTTATGAACATGAGTCCGCAAATGAACCCCTCTCCGAGCTAAAATTCGAAAATGTGTGAAATTGACCAAACACCTGCAATGCAAATTTATTTATCTCTCGAGAGAGGGTGTGTGTGATAGATAACGTCAAAACATTTTTTTTCTAAAATACAGCCAATTTTCAATTTTTTCCCCAAACTTTAGGGGCCTCTAGCTCGGAGAGGGGTTTATTTGCGGACCCTTGTTCATAGAAAAAAAGTCTTATTTTGACCTTCAGAATACTCTCCTAAAGTTTAGTGCATCATTTCAGATACACCCTGTATAAAACAGATATCACTATCAAAGATAATTATAGCTAAATATTTGATGAGTAGTTTTGTATATAAAAAAATTGGATATTATCTATCTCCATTGTATCGATGTTATATAAAAAGAATTGTATAGGAAGAAATTATCTTCTTACCTTAAAAAATGATCATTTAAAATGAAATTCTTGTACATAACGTACAATGAGAATTTTACAAAAGCCTTACCGCATATCGCGTTTAGCGTATGTTCACTAATAAATGGCAATAAATCCTTTACTACTGTCCCTCCAACATCCATCAAAGATTTTGTCATGCAATCGCCTTCCTTGATCAAGATGTCAACAAACTGATTTAATATATTAAAATGGAATGTAGGTATTAGTATTTTTCGCCGTGTTTGCCACTTAACACCTATAACAAAAACAATATAATATGCTAAAATATAGATAATATTATATAAGATTACTATCTCTTATTTTAATGTTTGTTGATCAATATTTTTAAATAATATAATTCTACATCTATTTTTCTTACATCGGACAATTTCTTTATAATATTTTAAATCTTCTTCTTATATAGAATTACGCGAGGAATTGCAAGTATAAACGTAGATTTAATTATTATTATTTTAATAATTATTATTATAATTTGTAATTCAATCTGTATGAATTAGATGGAAATAAATAGAAATAAATTAAAATTAATTTATAAAACAGAAATTAAGATTAATTAAGATAAATTAAGATTAATTAATAAGTCTATTATGTGACGGTGTTTGATTTAACTTAAAATATCTCTGCAATACTTTATTTAATTAAATACATGTATTACGGCGAAATTATCGCCCAATATGAACACAATTGCAATTTTGTTTTAATTTATTAGTTTTTATAATAAAAATGTTTTATACGTTCGTTTAAAATAATATTCAATTTTAATTGTAATCTCATTTTGTTTAATTTTTTGTGATGAAGATAGGTCGATGACAAATAGCAGAAAAGTATGCATATTTATGTAACATCAATATATTACCTGTGCTGGTGAGAAGACCTGTGCCGAACCAAGGATGTAATACGTTATATATAATACCTTTTTCAATATGATTGGTGCTGTTTAGTATCGTCTAAAATCATTGAAAATATGTTAAGAGAGAAACACCATTTCATTATATCTGACTCAATCTTAGATATACAAATTAGATAACAATTTATTTATTGTATATCTTAGATCACAATTTATTAATTGTGTGTTTTAAATTATTATCTAGTCTCATCTACTAGAGATATTTAATCTTTCCATCTTTTCAAGAAACATTTTTGATAAGCAAAAATCATCTTGTGAATCACTAGATTCTTATAAATCTAGTTAAATCATAATGTTTATAAAGAATTGAATTTCTTTTGTTACCTTCAAATCGTCTGGATGACGGATCACTACCGCAAATAAGAAGCAACCCCAAATATTAAAAATGGGATAATATTTATCAAGTAATGTACAGATTATCTTCCATTGTTCTTCTGTGAAAATTATATTATAATTATTGGTACACAAAAATTTTGATGGGATTAATTTTATTTTCAATATTAGTGTACCTTTATTCAAATACATTGACAAAATATAAATAATAATATAGAAAATGGTATTTTATAATTAAACAAATTATTGCGAAGAGAAGCACTCATATAAGGAATCTATATGCAATCTTGATAAGTATATGTTTCAAGATAAATAATTTATGAATTTATCTTATGTAAATGCTAGATTGTTTGTTAACGTAATTTCATTAATGTAATTAGATTAAAAGTTTTGTACTTACCTGCTGAAACAAGGAATTGGAGCAAATTGCCAATAATCGGATATCCCGGTGGTCCGGGTATAAGATTAATGAGTCGCCAGTTTCTTTTATAATTCATGTAATATTTATATATCAATAAAATAAACGTACATAATATCAATATAATGAATATCATTTCTTAACTGTCTTCTTGATGTTCTTGATTGTCTAATTAAGCTTAACCTCCTTTTAATGTTTTTATTCTTGGGTCGCTCGTGTTACAAAATAAATGATATTGGATTTTCAATAAAATTAATCTTGATATCTCTCTCCTAAAAATATTAATAATAAATAATTGTTATTATGTATAATAAATAATTGTTATAATAATTGTTAAATAATAAATAATTGTTCCTAAACGGAAAAGAAGAGTGAGAGAGAGGAAGAAAGATTGAGAGGATGATCATTATAATATATTATCGTATATCTTTTTGTAGTTAAAAATTTTAACAAACTATAACAAATATAATAATGTTCATTGTAATGGAAAAAAATATTACATATTAAATTTGGCAACCAAATAAAAAAATTTTTAATGCTATTTCTTGCAATTATTTCTTTATTTTTATTGTATAATATAAAATTTCATGAGATTCTACATTTCACTGCATTTAATAGTATTATAATTAGAACAAGTGTGTGTGTATTATTTTATTATATCAAATATTTAACATAAATTGTTTTATTGTTAGAATTTTATTTATAACTGTAAAAAAATACTTTTAAGCAACAATATTATATTATATCATTTAATAACATGTGCAGGTCAGTGATACAGAATTATTCTGTAATAAACGGAAGCTATTTAATTAAATATTTGCTCTTTCATAAACAAAGAAATATTTTAGAACCTTTTCCTGTTATTTGCGAAATTATTATCCTTATATTAAAATATGTTTCGTATAATATATAAATATAAATTAATAATAATATATAATCAATAATGATATATAACTATCGCGTATTATGTTTTTCGCGTTTTTATGTTCTTCGTTTATATTTTCTTATACCTTTTTATATTTTTTAAAATATTTTTTTATTTTTTTTTGTTTATTTGTTTAATCGCATATCGATTTTTTAATATCTAATTATTACCCGCAAATTAATATAATACATATTTAATAAGATAAAATATGAAATATTATAATATACTATAATAATTTAATAAAATTATAGCAATCAAAACAACTTATGGTATGTGAAAAAGTTTCTATTAAAACTATACCACTTATACTAATTATGATATTATTAACATTGAATTACGGTATTATTAACATTGAAATTTTGGAAAAGAATGTTACAAATTTTTTTTATATAAATATTATAAAAATTACCTGATAGATTCTATATGATACGATGATCAAACGAAACACAACTCAAATGATTAAAATAACATTGTAATTCGCGTTAAACAGATACGTAATTCAGCACAAATCTGCGCGAACTGATAATAAAAATCACAAGTTTATATTTATAGCTGTCTTTCGGCTCAAGAGCGTATTTAATCAGACTTTCATATCTTAAGAGTTGAAGAAGACTACTTTAATTAAAGACTAAATGACATATTCATTTGCATATTTATTTACATTTCATTTACATATTTATCTGATAATATAAAAATAATTATGAAATTATTTAAAAATCAGTAAAATTCTATGATTGAAAGCATTGATTTGAAATAAGGATTGTTTCCGTTTAAAACGAATCTATTTCAAAATTGTGAGAAATATCAATATATAAATATCAATATAAATAATACATAAGGAAAAAGATTTTATATTTCTTTATCAATTTTCATCAAATCTTCTAACGCTTCATCAATTCGCTACATTAATAAAGAAAAGAAAGAGAGATTCGAATTAAGATATAAATTATTTAGTAATTTATCGCTTTGAATTATTTCTAATAAAGTCAATGACGTTAATTGCTATAGTGTTATTGAAGTATGTTTCATTGTTTATTGTCTATAAAATATAATCACTGATAGAATCACTGATGTATTTATTAAATATAAAGAATAAAGAATAAAGAATATATAGAATAAAAAATAGAATAAAAATAGAATAAATAAAATAAATAGATAAAATAGATAAAATAGATAAATAGATAAAATAGAATAAATATATTATAGAATAAAGAATAAAAAATATAAAGACTAAAGAATAAGGAATATAAAGAATCAGGAATATAAAGAATAAAGAATATAAAGAATAAGGAATATAAAGAATCAAGAAAATCAACAATCAAAAATATCAAGAATAAAGAATATAAAGAATAAGGAATATAAAGAATATAAAAAATAAGAAATATAAAGAATAAAGAATAAGAAATAAAGCTTATTTGTTCAGCGACAGGAGTCTTCCGTGACAATTAACATTGCATCCGTCAAACGAGATCCGTCCAACATTGCTCTGCAGTCGCATATCACTGTGTTAATAGCTCGTGTTAGTAATTTAGAGCAGTTGCACGGAAAGAAAAAGACTCGACAGGTTCGATTCCCATAACATATACAGGGTGTCCCGAAACTCATAATCAATCTTTCAAAGACAGATTCCTGGGATCATCTGAAGACGATTTTTCCTCAACAAAAATGTCGAGGCACTAATAATTTTCGAATTATAAGTGAATTGGAAATAAAGGGTTTTTCGTAAACTAAGCTTTGTAGAAATAAAATATTAACAAAACCATTTTTTTATCTCTTGCATGTTTCTTAATAATATTATGAAATAATTAAGATAATCATTGTTTTGCATTTTTCCATGATCTTTTAGTTCATCTAATATAATATTTATCTATTATATAATATAATATTTATCTTAATATTTATCTATTAAATTTTATGTTTTAATAATTTAATTATAGCAGAATCTTGCGAATAACTTTTACTATTTCTTCATTAGGAAGAGATTTGTACATTTCGCACTATCCACTGCTTTATTTGCGCACAACATTTCGACATTCCCGATTGCCTACATGTATTATTGCATACACGAAAAAAAGAAAAATACGAAAGTACAATTTCATACATGACATTATTGCTTACATGTATAATACATTGCACACATGATATTATTGCATACAAAATAAGAAAATTATATTAATACTTTCCACACACGACTTTATTGCACACATACTTATTGCACACATGAAATTATTGCATACATATAGATTGCACATATAATATTATTGCTTACATGTAGATTGCATACATGATATTATTGAGCACATACACGTTTCATACATGATGTTATACACAAGCAGTTGGCAAACGAGAATGTAGGCAATTGAATCTTTTCCTATTCTTAGGAAACAGATAGTTGAATAATCCTACCTTCATTAAAAAATAAATGATATATTTTCATTAACATTTATCTAAGAGTGTAAAAATAATTATGAAATTATTTGAAAGTCAGACGTAAGATTAAGAACATCAATTTAAAACAGCGATTGTTTCCATTTAAAATGAATCTTTTTCAAAGTAGAGATATCAACATCTTAATATTAACAACATATAAAAAAATGTATGTAAGACAATATATAAGGACAAAATTTTATTTTTTTTATCAATTTTCACATCGAATCTTCTAACGCTTTATCAATTCAACAAATCAATAAATAAGAAAGAAATAGAGGAAGAGAGAGACTCGCATTAGGTGATTATTTAGTAATTTATCACTTCAAATTATCTCTAATAACGTCAACAAATGATGCTAGTTGTTATTCTTGAATTTTATTCTATTTTTTATAATTGCTTTTATTATCGTTTTCTAGATACGTATTATATTTCGAGAGATTATACTTATAAGAAAGAGGACACAAATATGATTGCTTATGACACCAACGAAATAATATTAAAGACCGATAGCCTTGGGTAAATTTTTGTGACCACCAAGTAAACTCGGATGTAGTAGAAGATTGATGATATTATTAGTTTAATAATATTGAAGACAATTATAAGAGTTATTTAAATCATGCGAGTATTTCAGATCAGCTATTGTTTTATTATCGAAAATGTATAAATGTATTTTTTATGTACCTTCTTTTATGTACCATTTTTTAAACTGTTGTTTTTAAACTGTTTCAAGAATAACAAAATAAACACAAATAAATAACAAAATTTATTGTATCAAATCACTATTTTATTATCGACAATGCAAACATTTTGTTATCTATAGTAGCATTTAACACGTTTTTTTCTGGTCATGCTAAATCTCATATGGCCATTGGTCTTTAATAGTATCTTGTCGATGCTTACAATTTCTATATGATTTGATATTGTAAAAGTCAATTATCTTTAATGGGGTATTTCACTGTAAAAGAATAAATTTAATCTAAGAGAACATATTAAAAAAAATATATCTCCTTTAATTTAATCTAGGTAACAAAGCTCATCAAAATCGCAAAAGGATACTTGTGCTTTTTTGTAAGATTTTTGAGTTTTTTGTAAGATCATCTCTCTCTCTCTCTCTCTCTCTCTCTCTCTCTCTCTCTCTCACTCCTTATTTAATAACTTATAAACTTTTATTTATTAGAATTCATATTCGATACAATATAATTCCAAAGAACAATAAAATCTCGGTGTAGCTCTGTATAATCAACAAATTTTGTCTATTGCCTTATGTCATTTCAATCAGAGTAAGTGCATTAGTATCGATATTAAGCTTATATTTGCAATGAAACGATAATAGAATATCAAAGATCATACAAACATCTTAGTTTGCTAAATATTTCGCTAATTTCGCATTTATATATTAATCTAATTAGTTAAGTTGCATCATTATATTGATATTAAAAACAACATGATAATAAAACAAGATATCAAGTTCATGAAAAAATTGTTCAAAAAATTATTGTGCAAAAAAATGTTGTTGAATTTTATTGCTTAAGTATCCTTTTTTGTTTACAAATGTTATCTCCTTTGGAATATGCTCTTTTGGAATTTATTATAATATAATAAGCAGAGAGAGATGAGAAAACTATATAAAATTGTATTTTTTTTTAACTATTACAAATGTTATATATTAAGGACAAGATCTAAAACTGTTAAAATATGAGATACAGATATCATAAAAATAATTAAAGAATTAATTAAGAGTAGTATGTATTTAATATTACAAAACCTGTTACAAAAATAATTTTGCAAAATTTGAATTTCTTTGAGTGTGAAACTTGGATCCCCAAACTTTTTCCTTAATATGTATATCTCTGTTCATGTGCAAACGAAAATTCAATTTGTTTGTAAATGTACAAACAAAAATCTATAGATTAAGCCTATTACGAAAAGAATTTTGCAAAATGTATTTACTTTCTGAAATATGCCATTGGAACACATTGCCAGCAATTGTTAAACCCATTGGTCCCGATATAAATTTAATGAGTCGCCAGTTTCTTTTATAATTCATATAATGTTTATTATACAAATAATATATCAATAAAATAAACATACATAATACCATAATATAGTAAACATCGTTTTTTAATCGTTCTGTTATTTTTGATCGTCTAAATAATCTGAACCTTTTTCCGTTTATTGTTTTTTTATTTTTAGATCATATGTATTACATAATAAATATTTTTTGATATAAAAGTAGATATTTGATTTTCGATAAACTTGGCAACTATCTTGATATTCTAAAGAATATTAATCCTAAAGAAAGTGAGAAAGAGAGAGAGAATAAAAGATCATTGTAATACATTAATTTCATATCTTTTATAGTTAATAATTTAATCAAGCTATAAAAAATATGATAAATTTACTCATTCTATAAATTTATTCATTTAGGAAAAAATATTACGTATGTAAGGGAGACCGGGGACAAAAATAACAACGTCATGAAAAATAACAAGCCTCGTAATAAACTACACAATACGAGTATGTTGAATAATTTGTACTATATAGTTAAACGCGTATGCCTCGATTCTCTTCCTTTTCAGTTAATTGTTGTAAAATGACGCACCAATTGCACATGCAGGAGTGAAATTAGTGTATTTGCATTATTCACCTAAGTATTTCTTGTTTTAGTTTTTTTGTATTTATACCTAATTAAAGTGTATATATTCACGTAATTATTGGTGTATTCTTCTAAAATGTATTCATAAGTTTTTATAGTTGATTTGGCTAAGTCTTGCATCATATCTAGATTATAATGCTTTTATTCTAAAAAATGTGTTTGGGAACAAAAGTAACACGACACTCTGTGGACAAAAGTAACATGTTTCAATCCTTAAAATATGGCTGGTCCCATAATAACTGTACCAAAGACGATTCTTATTACGTATGCCATAATTGTGATTCGGAATAAATAACAATCTCTTTTGTATAAGTAATTATCATGCAATTTTTACACTATTATTTAGACTTAAAAGAGTACAAAATTGGTGTGATATTAAGTATAATTATTTTGCTTAACGAAGATTATTTTTTTTTAATTTTTCAAAGATGATAAAAATAAA